GTCCCCAGAGCCATCCCCAAATGTCACTTGAATGCTCTCTCTTTTTTGAAAAAATTATTCTTAGTGCTGAAAATAGCTGTAGGATGTTTTTGTTTACCCTTTGGCTACAAAAGGTGAGCACTCTTTAATAGAGGAGAGTTACTAGTTACCACGAAAATCTTAGATGTTTGTTCTTAAACCCAGGAGGTACAGAGTGAATATCTGCCTTTGGTGCAAAGCAGCTGTGTCTATCTGATCCACTGAGGATTTAGTATCATTTTTCCCTATTGAGATTCCAGCCTTGTAATATTCTCAGGAAACTAGGCACTGAAGCTGTGGAAGAAATAAAATAGATAACATAGACTTAGCTATTTAAACTCCTCTTTATAAACTATTTTACACAATCTAAAGGCACATGAGATCATTAAGCTTCAGGCATTAAAAAAAGTTCCATTTTAGTGAAAGTGGAGGAAGTTTGGGAGAAGTATTACTTAGCATTTTTTTGAAACAAATACAACACTTTGTTTCAGAAAAGGAAATGCAAGTTGAAAGATTTCTTTCTAAATTAGTGAAAGTTTAGCATTAATTGTTCAAGAAATACTCTCTAGAAACAACAGAGAATAAAAATTACAACCATAATTATCAACACTTGAAAAATGGTTTGAAACAGATCTTATGGTCAAAATGCTGAAAGCTGAGCCCTATATATCAAAGAACATATACAAATTCACATAAAGATAAAGCACCAATGAAATCATTTGGTCCCTCATCTAAGGACCACCAAAGAGGTAAATCTGCAACATCTTTGGACATTTATTGTGATTTTTGTACCTGAACCAGTACTTTTGTACCTGAACCAGTACTTCTTCAAGAAAGTTTTAGGAACAAAATTAATTTTTTCTCAGGACCAACATTCGAGAGATGCAGATGAAAACAACACTGAGATTTCACCTCACCCCAGAAAGAATGGCTGCTATCAAGAAATCAACCAACAGCAAATGCTGGCGGGGATGTGGGGAGAAAGGAACCCTTCTCCATTGTTGGTGGGAGTGCAGACTGGTGCAACCACT